GACATGGTTTAGTGGTGGGCTTGGCAGTGCTGGGTTAATGGTTGGACTCTATGATCTTAAAGGTCTTTTCCAACTTTAACAGTTCTGTGATTCTATGGTTTATGTGGTGGTCTGCCCTGTGAGAGCCGGCGAGGCTGGGCGCACGGGAAGCTCCGTGGCTCTGTGTCCTGTCGGGAAGGAGCAGTCTGCTGCCTCTCCTCATCCCCGCAGGCTTTCCGGGTGCTGTCTGAGCCGGGACCCGCTCCATCCCCCGACCAGGACGGCCTGCAGCACCACCGGGCTTGGCGCTGCTCCACCGAGCCGGAACCCGCCGTCTGCGGTGTCAGCAGGATCTGGGTGTTCGGCCTGAGGCGCAGGAAGGGCATCGCCCGTCGGATGGTGGACGTGGTCAGGTAGGGAGTGACCAGAGGGCAGCGGGGAGCTGGGATCCCAGCTGGGGTTTCTCCTTGGCGGGGGGGAAACCCACGATCGCAGCAAAAAGTGTTTAGAAAGAATTTAAGGGATAAATTTGTATCATTAAGCAAGTCTGAAATCCCCACTTCATAGCGGAGCGATATCAAGTGGACAGATATTCTACGTATAGCTAATATTTAAATAATACTTTTACTAAAATCTGACAGAAGCGTGGGCTGAGCTGTTAATTGCTGGGTATAACTGGAACACGGAGCTACACAGACGGGATTTTTCATGAGAAACTGCTTGCTGGGAAAAAATATTATTTTTTTTTACTGGACAAGTTGATGGGCCCAAGCACTTCAGTTTTTCCAGGCAGGAAACACCGAGCTTTTTTTAAGCTCGGACCAAACTGGAAGACTTAAAAACTTCCCCTTGTCCTTTAATACGGACTGCCTTGAGCTTGGTGGTCCATGAGCCCGTGGTAGCACGTGTCTTTGTGTCGTAGCTGCTTGCTATATATCAAATATATATATATATCAACTATATATATCAACTGTATCAACTATATATATCGACTATATCAAATACAGACATATAAAGCCTATGAGTACCTACGTATATATTTTTATATAATCAGACATGGTCGTACCTGGAGCTCAGTATTCCGAAAATTCATCCACCAGGGTTCATCTCCGCTTCCTCCCGTGGTTCAGTGCTTGATGTGCCACCTCCGTGACGCCTTCCAACCCCACAGGCCATAATCATAATGTAATTATGCTATATAAAATCATCATCATAGAATCGTTTAGGTTGGAAAAGACCTTTAAGATTCCCAAATCCAAGCGCTGATCCAGCAGACAGGCGACCCAGCCGGACCCAGGTGACCCAGAGTCCTGGCACTGCTGTGGCAGCAACCACTCCAAGATATTTAACCAAAACCTCTAGGTTTCCACTTAAAATTGTATTCGGGGGGGGGTTCTGCCTCTGTTTGGTCTTACATTCTCCTTCTTGCTGATTTTAAAATGCCTCCTGGTTCCTGATTACGCCGGAATCCCGAACGGGCGAACGCATCTCGCGTCTTCTCTGGTTTGAAAGCAAAGCGACAGAAGAAACGACGGCTCCTCGCCGAGGCGGGCTGGTGGGGGGACACCCCCGCGGCGTGTTTTCGGGGTGGGATAAAGCGGCCGGCTGGGCGCAGTGCGCCGATAGCTCCCCTCTCTCTTTCAGGAGCACCTTCATGTACGGCGCCCACCTCGGCACCGACGAAATCGCCTTCTCCGACCCGACGCCGGACGGCAAGCTGTTCGCAACGCGATACTGCCAGACCCCCAACTTCCTCGTTTACAACTTCATTTATAACAACTGATTCGGCTTGCGACGAGCGGAGGTTTGTTTAAATCGTCTGAAATACCGCGATGTTTAAACGAACACGTCGTTAGCTGGCTAAACGCTGTTTTCCTGCCGAACGCTTGTTCTTCCTCCCCTTGCGAGCGAGTGGCGGGGAGAAGGCGTCACTTTGTGCGCAGGGTTGCGTTGTGTTTTCGTGCGCGCCGCGGAACCTCGCGTGGGCTGCAGGTAGGTTTGTTTCGTCTGAAAGTGAATTTTATTGCGAGTAACTTAATTTCTTTCAAAGGTTTAATTAATATAAAGATGGCTGTTCTCTGCCGGGTGCGTGGGTGTGTAACTGAGTTCTCCGCAGCGTGTGTGCTATAAAAGGCAGGGTAGGAGCCTTTAGCACAAGCAGTCGCTAAATTTCTGCATGGAGCATGCGGTGTCTTAAAACAACCGACTCGCACAGCGCCTGGGTGCCTCGGGGTGCTGTGCTGCAGGGGAAGCTCTGGCGGGAGCTGCCCGCTCAATAAAACACGTGAAATGCTGCTGCACCAGCTTGTTCCTGTGCGCGGAAGAGATGCGGGAATGCTTCCAACCCTCTCCTCCTCTGAGGAGTTTGGAGAAGGGAGCAGGGGTTGCGAGGGGGAGCAGGACAAGGATCTGTTGTAACATCTTTGCCTCCACCCAGCGGAGGGCAGGAATTTCCCCACCCAGCAGGGTTTTCTTTAATAAATCCCCAAAGGACTGGCTTTTTTCACACAATCACAGAATCGTTAAGGTTGGAAAAGACCCTTAAGATCATCGAGTCCAACCGTTAACCCAGCGCTGCCA